ATATGTTAATAGCTTCTCAAATACTTTAAAAATTGTATCATTTAATAAAAAACACTATCCCTAAATATTCTCGTTTCCTTTTCTTACATGTCAACATTATCTTTTTCATTACAGATTTTCAGTCTCTCAAATTTTAAATCCAAAGAAATGCATTTTGTATCATGGAAGAGGTGAAATTGTGCGTGAAAACTGTGAGGCAAAAAATGGTTACGTCTGCAAGCAGCGGCCTGTTTAAGGTTCCTTGGGGCACGGGGTGGGGGCAGGCTGCAGGGCAGGTCCAGCATTGCTCAGAATGATCCTTTATCTCAGTTATTACTAATTGTCTACTGTAATAGCAGGGGGTCTGCAAAATGTTAGCAATTTTGTCTTACATAATTTACATATCTTTGAAACCCCATTGTTTTAAAACTGACGGAATTTCTGTGCCTACACCTGAAATTATAAAGCATCAAGGTAAAGAATTTTTATGAATATTTTCATTTTATTAGATTCGTTTGAATATTAAATTTGTTGAAGTTTTATGTATATATTCTTGTAAATTTTCTCTGCAGAAATTTAAAGAAATTTGAGTTAACACCAAATAATATATATCAACTTCATTTAAATGTACTCTGTTTACAGTATGCCAGCCTCTGTATGGCATACTAAACTGGGAACTCCCATTGTCACCTCATTTTACTGAATGTAAGAATAATTTTAGTGTTCCTTCTAGCTATTTACTTATAGAAATATGAATTCAGAGATGAAAGTGCCGTGAGTTAATATCTTCATATGTATCATTAAGAGGGGAGCACACTGATGGGTCCTCCCTTAATGCTCCTGAATTCTGCCGAACACCTAGCAGTCTTTGGCCCTGCCATTGAAATCTGCAGTCTCTGTATGATTGCTTCCGGATTTTGCAAGGAGAAAGAAAACCAAGCCCTGGTCCCATGAATTTACAATAGTTCATTCTGTATCCCACGAAACTTTACTGCCTTCTGTTTATTTTTCAGGAAGAGTCCTTTACATGTACATTGAAGACCTTATTATCTGAGCAATCCCAAAACCCTTTTCCAAAAGTTGTATAGCAAATACTGCACAATTCTCTCTTTGAGGGCATGGAGGAAGAGCATTTTATTGAAGGATCTCTGAGGGTGTCAAAGAAGGGGTGGGGACAGCAATGAAGTCTGATGCCTGTGGCCTGACTGGGATCTTCCCGACTCCCAGCCATCAAAAGCCAGTTCCCTGTTATAACTATTGTATTTATATCTTAAGAAATGTGGATTGATATCCCTATCTGATTTGTTTTATTTTGCAATGAAATGATAATAGTTGAGAAGCCAAAGTTGATTTTAATATCCACAGAGCCAGGAAGAGAAAAGGACCTATTACATTGTCTTTCTCACACTGTAAATATAATAGGTCTTCAAAGAGAACGCTTCACGTTATGTGTGTAGATTGACTTAGGAAAACTTCTCTTAAGTTATGTAATGAAACATGCAAGCTAAAACATAACATTTTTCAGAATGTTGGAACTTGGACCCGAAGGTCATGCCATGCACTTTCTAGATATTTGAAATGTTTAGGCGTTATTGTTCATGTGTTTTGAAAATAATATATTTTTAATAAAATAAAAACTAACAGTATTGTTAAAAATAAAACTCACTGAAATTTGCACATAAGGTTTATTCTGAGCAGTTATTCTGTATGAATATAGGGATGCAGTTTTGATTTCAGGAAACTCAAACGGCTGGAAGAAGCTGTGTACAATGGGGTTTATAAGGAGAAGAGGAGGGGAAATATAGATCAACCAGCGACTAACGGTAACATGGCTGATTGAACCCTGCCCTCCCCTT